ATCGATGTAGTAATACTAGTGTTGAGAGAGAGAATTAAATACATTCCTTGGTCTTTGAACCAGAAGTTGTTACGCCTTATATACTGGGACGGATGGAGTACTAGGCAAAGCATTTTAGAGGGGCCTATTTTTTATTTACATGATAAACAGGCAACCGCCTTCGTCAAATGGTCTCTGTTCCCAAGCTATTTACAGAGTCAGTCAGCTCGCTCGATTCTGTTAATAGTATTTACAAAGGTGAACATATTAAGTTATCCACCTCTGTTAATAATTTGTAGAAAACCAAAAGGAAAGACTGATTTCTACAATTCGAACCTAAGATCCAAAGTATTGTGTGACATCTCTACCGCTGCACTACGTGCTCACTGTGTAGGCCGTACACTCAGAGGCACAAGTGGTGCGACCATGATGCCCCCCCAGAAGTTAGGGGCCCTATCAGCAATTACTCTCGAAGCCCAATTAGTTTAAGTCCAATTGGCCTAAGTTCATGTTGCTTTTTTTAGTTTCTTGACACTACCCACAAGATGCACCATGATGTAAGCAACCACCGATCGCCTACATGTCTCCATTGAAACTCTCAAGTCTACCATGACTATTCACCTTAGCACACACAGCATCCAGCATCCAGACTATTGATGCTCCTGGCCTAGGCACGGCACTACGACTTGTCACCGTGCCATGCCGTGATGCTAGGCACGGCAGTCCGACATGCCCGTGCCGGCCCGCAGCCGCAGCTCGCACTCAAGGCAGTTGCGCCGCCACTACGTCTTGTGCTCGTGGCCGCCACACCGCCGCGTTGAGGCTGTCTCGCCGCCCCGCCGTCGCGCCGCGTCGTCGGGCTGCCGTTGTCGTGCCCCAGCTCCCCCACGCGGCCGCGCTGAGGAAGTCGCCAGGTCCGGGACACGAGGAGATGGGAGGTGGAGGAGGAGGAGCGGGACAAGACCTGGAGGATCTAGCCATGGAAGTTAGGGAGGAGACGGGATGTGCGAAGGAGCGCCGTGGGGAGTCGGGAGGAGTCGGGATTGGAGGAGCCGTCGCTGGACATGCAGGCTGGTGGGAAGTATCTGAGCCGGGCAATATCGTGCCAGCCCATTTACCGTGCCGTGCACGTGCTGGCACTGTGGGCCAAACCTGCGGCCCAGGCATGGCCCTACATCATGCCCGTGCCGGCACTGGCACTATATAGGCCACATGCCCGTGCCGTGCTAGTGCCGTGCTTTTTCGGGACGGGCCCGTGCTGGCTCATCGTGCTGGCCCATCTAGACATCTATACCATGCAACAAGAAGAGTATAAACATACACGGCAGAGACTATATATATAACGTTATGCATGCAATTGGATGGAAGTAAAGCGACCTCAATATCCGAACTGAATGGAGGCGGGCAATGTGAAACATATACAACATCCAGATAAACACACTTGCAACATGCGTCCGGAAAAGACATAAGAAACATACATCTAAAACACTCAAAACATATACATGCAACATGCCCCTGAAACAACTGCAACATGTGCAACATCCCCCGATCTACTTTTGCAACATCCATATAAAACAAGTGCAACACACAACTAAAACATCTGAAATATTTGAAACATACATATTCAATATAGGGAAGGGGAAAGCTGCACCGATCGATTCCGCCCACCCGGGGTCGGGGTCAGCGGCTGCTCCGCGACGGCGATGGCAACAGCGCGGGGGCGCCTCCACCCCGTGGCCTCGACTCCGCGGTGCTTGCCGCGATACCGAGAGGTACGGTAGCTAGCGGTCGACACGGGCGTGGGGACTGCGCGGTCTGCCTCGCGGAGGTCGAGCCTAGGGAAAAAGCCCATGCGCTGCCGCGGTGCCGCCACCGCTTCCACGTCGAGTGCGGGGTGGGGAAGGAGCCGCCGCCAACCAGGGAAGCAGCGATGCCCGCGTCGTCGGGTGTGGGGCAGGACGTGAAGGGATAAGAATGGGGAGGGATGCGAGTGCTCTGCGGGAGTGAGCGAGGCGTCTGTCTTTCCGGGCGTCTTAATCATATCATTATCGAAAAAAAGCAATAAACCACTTATCGTGTCCTGTATATACTCCTACCACGGTATGCTTGGCAGAGAGGACATGTTCTCTGGGTATGCATATCAAAATTGATTCATCAGCTAGTGACGGTACTCTTTTAGTACCTTCCTCTCACTCACGCACACACACTTGGCAGACAGGCGGGGAGTGCCGAGTGCAGTGCGCTTTACCAACTACTACTAGTTTAGGACTAGTCTAGCAGCTTGAAGACGGATGAATGTACCTGTTAGTCTGTCACCGATGCCAGCAGTTGTCAAAAGTGTTTATGACGGTTCCAAACTAAGACCACACACTTGGCTCGCTACATACAGTCGTCTAAATCATCCAATTAACCTCCCCAACCTGCGATGTGATGTCCTTCAAGAGGAAAACGGCCGGCAAGCTCGTGCCACACGACGTACGGCAGTTTATTTCATCTGAACAAAGGACCGGATCGGAGCTTGCCTTCGTCGTCTCCGCCGCCGCCATCATCGCCTGCTTTATTATCTCGTGCAGTACCTAAAGCCACCTCGGTTCAACGCCGTTCCTATCTTTTCGGTTGAATCTCTCGGGTGTTTCTGCTCGGCTGGTCAGCTAGCTTAGCTTCAAACGAAATAAAAAGGTGGCAGGAACCTATGACAATGACAATGGATCGGAGCACGCTTTGAATTGACCGGCCGGAGGAAGACACGAGAGGAAGACAAAGTTAGGTCACGCTCGAGGATGGCGGCAAGCACGCGTCCCATTCGCCCGCAACGAAAACGCCAGCCGCCTGCTGACCTCAACTCAATTCATGACAACCTGCTGCTTACTGGCAGTCGTATAGTAGATGCCAACTGCATCTGTCTTAGGATAAGGCCTTGTTTATATCAAGGTTGTAAAGTTTTGTGGTGTTATATAGGGTGTCGCATGGGGTGTTCGTATGTTAATAAAAAAATAAATTATAGAATCCGTCAGTAATATGTGAGACGAATTTATTAATCCTAATTAATCCGTCATTAGCACATGTGTTACTGCAGCACCACATTATTAAATCATGGACTAATTAGGCTTAAAAGATTCGTTTCGCAAATTAGTTGCAAACTGTACAATTAGTTTTTTTAGTCTATATTTAATACTCCATGCATGTGTGTGCAGACATTTGATGGGATAGAGAGTAAAATTTAGGGGAGAAACTAAACAAGGCCTAAACCTCTCTTTACCTCACCCTGTTTTTTCCCCAACTTTTGTTCCTTCTTTGGGCAGGCAGCTTTGCTTATACGTGGACGCAGCCATGCGTGTTCTCACCACCACTCCACCGTACACGCGTATGTATGTGTATGTGTCTGTGCGCATCGGTGCAGGCTTGCAACTGCATGTGCAGCTTTGTTTGGCTGCATGCACTCCTGTCTTCATCCACCAGCGCCCTGCGGCACACAACACAAGAATAATCGTATGGACACGTTCGCATCGCAATATAAACAAACCCAAAGGCAAGTGCACGTCCATCTGAGGATGAACTACGTTTACTTGCAGCAACAGAGCTTAAAGGCTCCGCAGCCAGCGCTGGTTTCAGACAGTGTTTCAGGCTCTCCATGCATCGAGATCTTGCAAGCCACGCCGTTTCAATATATCTTCACCACGTACAGTACAGTACCCGCTTGCATTGCCCAGCTGAAAAGGTGCTGTGCAGTGCAGGGAAAACTAACCGCTGGCGTACATGTCGGTGCAACAAGAGGAGTGTAAACGTACATGGCAGAGACGACTATGGCCCTGTTCGCTTGTCTTATGAGCCGTATTTTTTCAGCGAATGAACAGTATTTTCTCTCACGATAAATCAGCTAAGGCTATACGTACGGTGACGGAGGTGACAGGCGAGGAGGAAACGCCGCCATCCAACAAAGGAACAGGAAGGGCCAAAACATTGCACGGACACGAGCAGGACCTGGAGAGAAGCTAACTAGCAGTAGCTTATTCAACGTCCAAAGCAGAGCAGGCTCCCTCGCCTCGGTCGGTCGACTGCCTAGCTTGGCGCGACGCATGGCGACGTGGCGGGGCTGTGTCTCCGTGGAAGTCGAAACGGTCGAGGAGACCTGCGTATATGGGCCGTACGTATGTACCGGATGGCAGGCATGCAGCTACGTACACGCTACACATACGTACAAGTACGAGCGTGACAGACAGATAACTTGTGAAACCCCAGTTCATAGAATACAGACATGGAGCAATCGGAGAAAGCAACAGGTACCAATACGCTAGCTGCTTTGGCCAAACCTGCCGTGCCCGTGCGTGCGCGCTCACTGCATGGGTCCTGACGCTGAAACGTGATTTTGTTTCAAGCTAGAAAGAAGCTGGCACGGCACCTGACAACGAAATGCATGCATGCAACCAGTTACGCGGTAGATTTATTTGGTATATATATCATGGGACTTGACACCGAGATGCAGGCAACTTTTTTGACCATCAGGAGATGAATGAAATAAAATTCAAGTGTATCCAACCGTCGAACGCAGCAGGCATTAGCGGAGCCTGAAGCTTTTAGAAGCCCGGATGATTCCTATATTTAGCTAGAAACTTACGCGGTAGATTTATTTGTGTAGGCATTGGCATCCCTACACAAGCTGACACGCACCAGCCGGGCACTCCCAAACATTTGCATTTCATCTCACCAACTTGTTACTACAAACACACCCCCACAATAACTCATCGTGTAGCCAGGCACCAACCTTCTGTACTGCCCTTCGTCCTTCATGGCCAAGAAGAGGCTCCTCCTCGCTCACAAGCTCTTCTCGGCCATGCTCTCCCTCCTCCTCCACGGCCGCCGGCCGCCTCCTCACTACTCCGGCAGGTCATCAACCCCGCCGGTGGTGCACCGCGGCGCCGGCCCTCCGACGCTGGACGCACGGACCACGACGGCCGCCCTCGTCGTAGACGTCGACACCGCGCTGCTGCGCTCTGGTCTCTGGAGACCTGTTCCCGTACTTCATGTTGGTGGCGCTCGAGGCCGGCAGCTTCCTGCGCGGTCTGCTGCTGCTCCTGCTGTGCCCGCTCATCCGCCTGCTCATGCCCCGCGGAGCGGCCGTCAGGGCCATGGCGGCGGTGTCGTTCTGCGGCCTGCGCGCGGGGCGGTTCCGCGCCGGCCGCGACGTGCTGTCCAAGTGGCTCATGGAGGACGTGGCGGCGGAAGCGTTCGAGGCCGTGCGCGCGGCGGGGATCAGGGCGGTCTGCGTGACTGCCTTGCCCAGGGTCATGGTCGACGGGTTCCTCCGGGAGTACCTCGGGGTGGAGGCGGTGGTTGCCAGGGAGATGAAGGTCGTGTGGGGGTTCTACACCGGACTCATGGAGGAGCTGCCGGAGGGTGGTGGAGAGATGGTGATGAAGGCGGTGGTGGCGGCGCCGGCGCCGGCGGCTGAGGAGGAGAGTGACAAGGCGGTCGTGGGGTTCTCTGGGTCAATGGAGTTTCTTAATCATCCACTGGCACGTTGCTGCAAGGTATAGAACCGTGGAAGAAGAAGATGATTTGCTATAATTATTTCGCTTCCATTTCTGGTAGGTTCTCTTTTCAGTTTGACTTTGAATATTTAATGAGCTAACGTTGAACAAATTACTTGGAAGTAGGTTACCGAACTAATTTTCAAGAGAAAAAATTTAAAAGGAGAGGTTTAAAAAATGCATGACTTTGAGTATATATAGACTTGATTAAAACTAGGTTACAGAACAACTCCTTAGAAGAACAAAGAAAACCTTTTGAGAGGTTCAGAATATGCATGACACATACATGTATGCATTTCAGATGCATACATGTTGCATTTTTCTTTCCATCATGCATAGCCTCTCCTTTTTTTTTTTTGCATGAAAGTAGCGTGCTTTATTACAAGTTAGCATCATCTCTATTATATTCCGGATCTCAGGTTGTGCAGGTTGTGTGCATCCTGGATAGCAGGCAACACGGTACAAAAATACGTAGACGTAGGACTATTTTGTATGGCTGGCAGTCTGACACAGACAAAACGTACAACATACACATAGTCCTCGAGGCATATACGCATATCTCGCACTGTTGGTGTCGTACTCATCATGCAACTCAATCATTCACATCGTTTTCCACTCAGCTGTGATAAAAAAATTCTATCTTTCCCAAAAGGGAACTGCTAGCGCTCGGACGTCCGATCCGAGCGCTAGCATCAGACGCTCGTGCTGGTGCTCCTGGATCCCCCCCTGCCCGCCCCCCGCCCAGAACCAACAACCTCGTCCCAATCCCCAACCTCGTCCCCATCGCCCACAACCAGCGCCCGCCCGCAACAGAGCTCGCTTGCATCGGGATGCCCCCGCGCACACCCGACACGCCCGCACCTCGTGGCCCCGCACCTCGTCCCCATCTCCATCGCCATCCTCATCCCCATCCCCATCCCCCATCGCCCACAACCAGCGCCCGCCTGCAACCGAGCCCGCTTCCATCAGGGATGCCCCCCGCGCATGCCCGACATGCCCGCACCTCGTCCCCATCTCCATCGCCATCCTCATCCCCATCCCCATCCCCATTCGTTTGCCTCGCCCCCGCAGGAGCACCCCCCCACCGCGTCGTGCCCCCGACGACGGCTCCGCTCCCCAAGGCGCTCATGTCCCCCCTTCCCCAACGCACCCAATTCTCAAACTGCAACATCGAAAAAATATGTAGTGCAACATTGATAAACATACACTACAACATCGAAAAATATCTACTACAACAACGAAAAATATCTAATGCAACAAACAAAAAATATGTACTGCAGCATCGAAAAAATATTACTGCAACATTGAAAAACATGCACGGCAACATCTAAAAAAATCTGATGCAACAATGAAAAATATCTACTGCAACAATGAAAAAATGTGTACTACAACATTGAAAAACATGTACTACAACATCGAAAAAACATATACTGCAACATCGAAAAAATGTGTACTGCAACATCAAAAAATTATGCTGCAACATTCGAAAAAATGTACTGCAACATCTCAAGCTATAGTACTGCAACATCGCAAAAACATATGTTGCAACAACCCAAAAGAATCACATTACAACATTCGAAATCATCTGTTGCAACATCCAAAAAAACCAGTGTAACACGGCGAGATCTGACCCCCGAGAGCTCGCCGGAACCCTAGCCACTACTGCATCCCTTAGATCTAGAGGAGGAGGAGGAGCAGACCTCAGATCTAGATCCCTCTGCGAGCTACCTCATCGGAGCCGCCGCTGTCGTCCTCGTCTCCGGTGGGGGTGCGGGAGCCGGGTCGCAGGGAGAGTGGGGGTGCATGGAGGTCGTGGAGGGCGAGGGACGGAGGGAGGAAGGGAGCACAGGCGGGCGCGCGCGGCGCGCGGTGTCCCTGTCCCGGGGACGTCCCAGAGAGCAGGCAGGAAAGCGGGCGGAGGAGCGGCGCAGGAGAGATTGAGTGTGGGGGAGCGGGCAGAGTGAGTGCGGAAGAGAGCGAGTGGAGCAGGCGGAGTGGGGGAAGTGAAGTGCGAGTACAGAGCGGTTTGTGAAACGGTGCCTCCGGACGCCCGGTCTATAGCATTACCGTGCCCAAAAAGTAGCAGGTAGGACAACACCTGTTCAAACCGTTCCCATTTCAATCCTGAATTTTGTGAACATCTGCCTTGGATTTATATATAGTTGTTGCTAAATTTTGTGAATTTTCTGAGCGTACGTGCGATGTGCAGGAGATCTTCATCGTGAGCTCCGACGAGAAGAGCAGGTGGCGGGCGCTGGCGCGGGACAAGTACCCGAAGCCGATAGTGTTCCACGACGGTCGCCTGGCTTTCCGACCAACAGCCACCGACACGGCCGCCATGTTCGCGTGGCTGCCGCTGGGCGTTGCCCTGGGCGCCGCGCGTCTCGCGGTGGCGCTGACCGTGCCGTACAGGTACTCGACGCCGATCCTGGTGGCGACGGCCGACGGGCATGTCGTGGCGGCTTAAGGGCTCCCGCCCGGCGCTGCGGGGCGGCGGGCGCGGGCAGCTGTTCGTGTGCAACCACCGGACGCTGATCGACCCGGTGTACGTGTCGGTGGCGCTGGACCGGCATGTGCGCGCCGTGTCCTACAGCCTGAGCCGGCTGTCGGAGCTCATCTCGCCCATCGGCCGCACCGTGCGCCTCACGCGGGACCGGGACAGCGACGGCGCGCCGTCATGGCGCGCCTCCTCGACCGCGGCAACCTCGTGGTCGTCTGCCCCGAGGGCACCACCTGCCGGGAGCCATACCTGCTCCGGTTCAGCCCGCTGTTAGCCGAGCTCAGCGACGATGTCGTCCCCGTCGGCATCGCCGTCGAGACGTCCATGTTCTACGCCACCACCGCCGGCGGGCTCAAGTGCTTCGACCCGCTCTACTACATGGTGAACCCCAGGATGTGCTCTGCGGCAACGACGGCATCGTCCGATCAACCAGCGACAAGTCGGCATCGGCGGCCCCTCCGGGTGCCGCCACCGCCGCCGACACGGGGAGGAAGAACAAGAGTACATAGAAGAACAACTGATAAGTCAAACTTATCGTTGATTGATTAGGAAAAAAAAACACCAATTAGTAAGGGAAAAAAAGAGCAGATTTTTTGTCCTTGACTTTTGGTTTTAGAAGAAGACCTTGGAAGTTTGGTACATCTCGCTGTTGATTGTTGATCATTCATTTTCTGCTGTCTGTTTCCTTCTCTTAAGTAGTTTTTTTTTATTTTTTTTATTTTTAAATAGGTTAGAGATTTTTCTTGAGATTTTTATTTATGTACGTATATGTAAAGAGGCAACAGGCTTGTATCTTCTCTTGGGTTATTGTACTTGTACTGTAGAAAAGACTACAATGTGAATTAAATACTAAACTTGTCATTTCTGGTCTTGTCATGAATCATGATGCAACCTTGCAAGTCGAGAGAAAATGAGAAAGCTATAGAAATACATGGATTTCTGGTCTTGTCATGAATCATGACGCAACCTTGCAAGTCAAGAGAAAATGAGAAAGCTATAGAAATACATGCTGAAACTTGAATGGGAATTAATGGTTTCTTCTTTTAGACATCGTTGGCGGCGATTTATATTCGTAAAAACGACTGTTAACAACGGGAAAATGAGAGGACGATGATGATTAGCTTGTTTCGATATTGGAAATTAAATTACTCGCACCAAATTAAAAGGACTCTGCATTATCATGAAGCAATAGATATTTGGAAGGTGGCTTGTGTTTGTGTATCTATCTATATATTGCCACCGAAGAAATATCCCCGCTGCAGAATAGAATGAGCTAGCACTATACCTTGTGTTGATTCATTTTGTGATTGTACCACATCAGATGATTCTATGCATTTGTCAGGAGTCGAACCCGTGTCTATTGCTTGGAAGGCAATTATCCTAACTGTTGGACTACAAACGCCGGCCTGTTTTGTTATCTTTCACAGGCTATGTTGTCTAAAAGGGTAATTAGTAATTGAATTAAGATGCATTTCATTTATAGATGGCCATGCAGCCCATGGCCTGTTGGCACGGCACGAAGCCCGACATTTTGGCCCAGCATAAGCCTGGCCTAGCCCGGTGACTAGCAGGCCCGGCCTGGCCCGGCCCAATGCATAGGGCCGCTCCCTAGGCACGGCGGCTGGCCCGCCCCGGCCTGCTAAACATGCATCGCCTGGTGCTAGCCTGTTAAATTGACAACCTTGTGAATATTTGGCCCAGGCCACCACAATCCATATATATACGATGTTCCACTTCCTAACTCTAACTTTTCTCCCTCGGTCTCCTCCCAGCCAGTCTTGACGGTGGCCTCCTCTACTCCTGATTGCTCGACACCTCTGTGCGACTCCGCCCGAGGCACTTCTCACACCTCCACGAGACCACAACCCCTCTCTGCAAGACCGCACTCGCTCCTATGCCGCCAGAGCCACCTCCGACATCGGCGTGCCGCCTCCTGACCACCTTGGCTCGACAGCGCCCCCGGCCCTCACACCACACGTCCCCGTCTGCCCCCACCCCACGCCAGTGCCGCCAGAGCTGCCTCCGCTCATCCTCCGCATCTCAGCTATTCCCCGTCCAGCAGCCATTGCTTCGGCTCCAGCGCCCCACAAGGCCACCACCGCACCGTTGTTCCGCCGCCCGTCGCCGGCCGCCCGCCCAAATCTAGGACGCCCCAGTTTCTGTGGGCTACGGGCCAGCCCGGCCTGCTACAGGTCCCGGGCTTATCGGGCCAGCCTGGCCCAAAAAAGGCCCATAGTGTCATGCCTGGGACGAAGGCCAGGCCCATAGCCCTAAGAGCATGGCGCAGGAGGCACAACGAGCTGTACCGGCCCGACCCCCATCGGGCCATGTCTAGCATGGGGCCGACATCTATAATTTCATTAAGATGCTTGTCAAGAACACACGCTTCGTTTGAACAGCAGAATTGGGGCCTTCAATCAGTTTGGGATGGTGGGAGGGTGTCCTGCCATTTCTCCGCCTATTAGCCATGATTAGCTGGTTTGGCCAAACTAGTGAGATAGTTGTTAGTTGGATATTCAGCTAACGATTAGCTACAATGTTAGGTGCATATGTTTGGATCTAAAGAAGCTAATTAGTTTTTTGATAAAACAGGAGGTGTTGCTCCCTGCTGAACTTTTATTAAAATGAGCTTGAAAGTAAAGGTACAGAGGCTGAGGATGAGACTCAGGATACAAAGAACGAAAGAAGAAGCTAATTAGTAGCAACTACCTATTAGCTATAGGGATCAAACAGACCGTAAACCACGTACTTTCCATCATGTGTGTTTGGAAATTGTGTAGCCTTTCACTTTTTACTCAACCTGTGTGCTTGTTCTTTTTTATTCTTGGCTCCTCTGTTTGTTGAATTCCTTTTTTCCAAACATATCCTTAGCTTTTGTGGGTTAACTATTCGTCTTCTATAGCTAGTCGTTGGTTTCCTCTCCTAAATTTTAGTCCCTGTCATATCGGATGTTTGACATAAATTTGGAGTATTAAACATAGACTAATTACAAAACTAATTGCATAGATTGAGACTAATTTATGAGACAAAACTATTAAGCCTAATTAGTCCATGATTTGACAACGTAGTGCTATAGTAAACAAATGCTAATGATGGATTAATTAGGCTTAATAGATTCGTCTCGCAAATTAGTCATGGCTTCTGTAATTAGTTTTATGATTAGCTCATGTTTAGTTCTTGTAATTAGTATCGAACACTCAATGTGACACCTCCTCAACTTTAATCCCTATATCAAACACCGGCTACTTGTTCTTTTTTTGATTCGTTCATTCAATTCATTCACCTGCTTGTTCAGACTCCCTTATGTTACCCCACAGGCACAGTCCAGTTCCTGCTCCTGCACTGCACACGGACATACCCTGTGTATGTTCGGATGGTTAAACCCAACAACAAAAGATGCGGCAACTTAATTAATAACAATAACTCAATTATTGATGAAAGAACGGAGGATGGATCCCAGCGAGATGCATGTGGGCCTGAACGAAGAAATGCTGCCACCCAACAACCAAGAGCATGCATGGTGACCTCCGGGACCAGACATGCACGCTGGTTGTGGTAGGGGCGGTCCTGCATCGCCTGCAGTCTGCATCCTCGATCGTAGAGTAATAGGCAAGCCCTGTAGCGGCGGTATTTCATAGTACTTGCACCAGCTGCGACCACATCATCAGATCGGATCGGACCACACCCAAACAGTGCAGTGGCAGTGGCATTGTGTCAAGGACCACACCCAAATAGATTCGGGTGTCAGATCGACTGTCAGTATACATTCTGCTTACAGGAAGTCAGGACCATATATAGAGAGAGAGATCTCCAGCGGCTCCAACAACAAAAGGTGTCCAGTACGTAGTAGGAGCAACCAGTAGTGTCGATGAAACAGTTGATACATATATATACAACAACTGCCGGCCGAACCTGTACAACGTCTGGTAGAACTGTCCATATATATATATAGCTCAAAGTTTACATACTTCTGTACTGGGCAGTTTACATTAAGCGAGTTATGGTACGATATGTGTATGTGTATGTTAATTATGAAACGTTACCTGCAAGCAAGCGTACGAGCGCTAGCTAGCTGCTGCTGGTGGTAGTACGATTATTATTGCACAAGCCATAAAAACTAAGGGGGTTGTGAATTATTTGGTTGTGTTGACAATAAAAAATGACCAGGAAGCATGAGATGACTTCTAGGAAACATATTTGAAATGTTGCATGGAAATTTGGAGGCAAAAAGATGAAAAAGGCGGAGCTCCCATGTTGAACCGGCCTGGCCGGTCCTCATGCCGGCCAGGCCGGCTGCCTGCTCCTATGCACCCCCTTGGGCCGGGCCCCTAAGGAACCGGCCTGGCCAGTTAGAGAACCAGGCAGGGTGGCCCACCTGTGCGCCACACTGCCCAATTGCCCTGGCCGGTTTGGAACCCGGCTAGGCCGGTCTTCCGGCTCGCCCAGCCGGCTGGCTGCCACCGAGCTCGACAGAACCGGCCTAGCCGGTTTGGGAAACGGCTATTCCGGTTTCTCGGCTGAAGTCCGAACTGATTTTTGTGTAGGAAACGTGAAGAATACTGTTTGGACTTATTTTTTACTGGGATAAGACCATCCTCTCTAAAGGATCACGATCGATTGAAGAATCCAACACTCAATCGTCTTTTTTGCATCTATTATCCAATTTTTACCCTTTTCCAACCCTCCTGTTGTTTGTTGCATCTCTCCGCGAGATTCAACGACATTCTAGGTAGCTTTAAGGCAACGAGGGACGGGTTGCCCCCGTAGCCAAATATGCCACCAAGATTCAGGTCACCCTATCCTTAGAAAACGATCTGACGAGCCGTCCCCTATCGACATTAGCGATGGGCCATCTCCAACAGCTCCTCACAAAGACCTAAACATACATACCGAACAAAATATTGGTTAAACAAGAATATTTTGACCGGCCAAAATAAGTGAACGCCGGTTCGAATGAAATTACCAAAATTTCAAAGATCCATCCATTTTGACTGGGTCCGATTTTTTTTGCCATTCGAACCCTAGATACGAAAGACGACGAGCAGATAACTAGCCCTACGAAATGAATTGACGGTGCATTGCCTAGTTAACATCCAGCATTACATTAGCTCTGGGACGGCCGGTCTTAGAGGGTGTTTGGTTCAGCTAGGAGCTCCTAAATCTAGTCCCATTTAGTCATTTTTTACCCAATCACTGTGACTAAATGGGACTAAAAGGGCTTTAGTCCTCTCTAACAGCTCTGGAGTGACTAAATGGGAATAAACCATTTAAGAGGGACTAAAGTTTAGCAGCCCAAACCAAACACCCCTTAATTTACTGGCATGGAACTGTGGTTGAGGTCGATCTGGGCAAGGATTGAGAATTGTACATTCGTTCCGTCCCCCACATGACGCCAATCATTCATCCGTCCATTCATTTGAAGATGAATATACCATTAATACAACTTTATACAGCATATATATACCCGGGCTCTTCCTAATGCTTGGAGACTTGGACCTGTAGGCTGTGGACAAGGACCCATGTCCCATGGGAATAAGTTCCATTCGTGT